ACAAAAAGTAGATACCATTTTGCTTGTGACAGGAGTTAGAACTTCAGGTCTACAGAAAACTGTTTGTTTATTACTGGGTTGAGTTGGACTAAGCACTAGGAACAGCAGTTTAAATACTTGTATGCATTTGGCTCTATCTGTAATTATGCACATATAAGAAATTAAGATGTGGGGTTTTTGAAAGAATCATAAGGCAGCAGTGAGTTCACTCTGCATTGGAAATTCTGGCCTAAAACAAAGGGGTTTAGCTGCTGTTAAGACCTTGCTTTGTCAGTGAAGTTATTTGGAGCAGATTAGCACTTCTCAGAAGATGCTTACAGTTTCAAGGTCAACAGCTAACTGGCTAATAGGGCTACATCAATTAACATGGTTAGAATTTATTCCATTATTTCAGAGAAGCTAAAAAAAAAAATGGAGTGACTTCATTTCAGGAAGAGAGAACCAAAGTGTAATTTTCAAGTAAAAACAGAGATTGTAGTGTATACAGGTGTAAAATGGGATAGCACTTGCATCATCTTCTTGCAAGAACTCCCAAGAACAGATGAATAAGGTTCAGAAAAAGAAGAACAAAACTCTCACTAGGCTTTTGCTTTAATGTAGTCCTAAGGAAACAGATATTTGACTTTTTGCTGTGCAACAATTACAGTAATGGTTGGTACCTCCCAGCCTTACGGGTACTCACAGTTTATAAAACAGCAGCTGCAAAAGCCAAAGTCTTCCTTTTAGTGAAGAAAGCAGTAATGTTGGCTGTTGCCTTGGCGGAGGCTAGAGCAAACTTTTTGTCCCTTTACATTAAGAGGAGATGTAACATAAAAGTAGAAAAAACAACATAGAAGTTGGTTTATACCACAGAAGATTCCAAATTGGGCATAAAATTTGTGCTTACAATAGGTTGATAATAAAAGATTCCTGGATTCTGTAGAAAAAAATGGAGGCTGGAAAGAATGTCATCAATTTATCAGTATCAACAGACTGAAGAAATATATTTTCATCCTCCTCTTTTGCATTCACACCTGAGGATCAGCTTCTCAGTGCAATTTATGATGCCAAGGATCCAGGTCATTCTGTCTTAGATAAGAACCACTGTCGTCTTTGTGCTCCTTTTCAAGGCACTCACTGCAACTCTGCCATAATCACAGGAACAGTTTTGGCATGTAGTTAGATTAATATTTGAATGTGTAACTTCAGGAAAGAACAAAAAGTTGCTAGAAATGTGCAGAGTCTGTATGTAAGCAGTCAGAAAATGGACCTAACGTCACTTCTTAATTTGTAGCTATTCCCTCGAGTCTGAAAAGCAACTAATGGCTTTGAGTGCTTTAACAGAGCATTGGCAGAACAGGAAGAGTTTGGGGGATGTACACATTCTCAGCACATCAAATTGTGCAGCCCTTTGTGTTGCTACAAATGTTGAGTGACTTGAATGCAGGTAGCAGAGTTTGTCTAGATTTATATCCATGAAAGTGAGATTTGGTGCAGCCTGTAGATTATTTAGCTTCCTTTTACCTGAATTCATTGCAGCTCTTGGACCTCAGTTAATTGCAACATTGCTTAGAGTTACAACGCTATATGATCACTCCGTACTTCTACCTTTGGACTAAGATACGTTGTTATGAATTACGCAGAAAAAAAAGTCTGTCACTCCACCCACATAGGACATTTTCTGGATATATGCAGATTAGCCTGTCAAATTACTCAGATTCCTGTTAAGCTGTGATGGTTTACCTCATTTGCTGCAGCCCATGAATATGAAAAGAAAGGGTCAAGCTGCGTTGGCTTTGACTTTTGCTTTCCTGACTTTTTTGACTTTGAGGTAGACGTTTAGTGCTTCTCAGTATATTTTCTGAAGACTCTGTGGGAGGTCTTCTCTTTAGCTCTTTCTTTCTATATTGAATCTCCATTATGCTAATAACAACAAATATCTTTTTTACACTCACATAGCATTTTTCAGAGCAGCGCAAAATGCTGAATGGACCTCATATCACTTTAATTTGTCAGCCCTGGCTATATAGCTCCCTCATAGTTATCACAGATATTCTTACTTTTGAGTAAAAGAGGAGAATGGCAGAAATACCTGTTCAGTTAGGAAATGCTGATATTTTAAAATGGCAGTGATGGTAAACTGCTTTTCTAGAGCTACCTATTAAATATCTGTTGTTGAGAAATAAATGAAATTCTGCAGTGTGCTTCAGGATAGAAGGAGTTAAGTAGAGTGCTATCCACCTTGCAGAAATAAATTTTGGGGACAAAATATTCATATAATCAAAATCAATATTTCTTATATTAGTAGCCGAGTTCTTCAGAAATAGCTGAATACAGATTTTCCAATAATTTCGCAGTGTCTTATTTCCCTCTGCTGTAAAAGTATTTCTTAATAGTCTGTGAGCATGGCAGTAAAATTTATTGCTTGCCGATAACCATGCACTGGCTCTCTAATACCGGGGAATATTTGATACAATTACCTGTGGTTAATAGTACTTCTCTCTTCAAACAGTGTTGGTGAAGTCAGTGTATTACTCAACATGAACAAACACGCCCCATGTCTTTCAAATACAAACATGGTTGATAATGATAAATTTGTATTCAACTATGTTTCTGTGTTCTAGGCTGATGGACACATTGCTTACATGTAACATAATCACACAGCAGTCTTGTGCATGCATATATAATTAGCATGAATCTGAAGAAGGGAAGAGTTTCTCATTTGACAGTGTAAGGAGATGGTGTTGATTCAGTATCATAAAAAGAAAGACTATTAGTGTCTACGACATCTCCCTTCTGCCTTTCTGAGGTCTCACAGCTGATGTCTCTCCTTTCTCAGCAGAAGTTGCTCCTCAAAGTTACATAGAGCTAAACCCCCCACTGCCTTGTGCTTCCTTGGGCATTTCTGTTGGTGTAGAGTGAGTGTAAAATGGAGTGAAAATCCAAATCACACCATAGCTGGAAAATCAGGCCCAGATTTTCTCAAGTAAAGGAAAGTAAATCTTGGTTCTCAAGAGTTAAACTGATGTTCATCAAAAATATCATCAGTAATTACTGTGTAGAAACTGACTTAAATTGAAATTAAGCCTAATACGGATTCTTGGTACACTCTTTGTTTCTTCAGTAGATGAGTTTCACCTCTGATGAATACAGCATTAATCTGTGCTTCATCATAAACCAAATGAATTAATAAACTAAATTATATTTTAATCTGTTTAATTTTTAAATAATTTATTATTGGGATTGTCTATACTTGATCTGCAGTAACCTTTGCTCAAGGAAAAAATTAGAGACCAAGTTTTTCTATGGTTTTTTTTTCACAGGGACTTTTCCATGTAATAACCTACTAGCACTCAAAAAACGAATGTCCAGTAATCAGGCAAGACATTGTTTGGACTAAAGACATAAACAATATTATAGATTCAATTATATATCCAAAGCGATTTAGTGGATTAGCTGTTGTGTGCACACTTTGGCCGCAATGCAGCGTAGTCTGTAGCTACATGTTTCATAAACTTGTGACTATTTTAATTAATTTAACACAGAACTGAGCAGAAACCAGAGTTTTCACTTTATGGACAAGTCTGCTACTTTGAAATGTATGAGTCCAGCGGAAAATAAGTGGTATATAGATTTCTCTGAAAGGAAAGCCATGGTAGAACGATGATTTAAAATCAATTGAAATATTTCTTTTCTTCTAACAGCTTAAGCATTTTTTGGAAGAGCTAAAAAATGAAAGTGGCTCCATTTCAGGGAAAGAGAACTGAATGTAACTTTTAAATAAATTAAAAAAAAATGTATGCAGAGGTAAAATGGTGGTAGTATGTGCATCATCTTGTCTAATAGCAATAAGAATTTTCGTATGAATAATCATATTGTTCCAATCTGTAATGAAATGTATTTTCGTTATCAAAACGTTTTTCTAATACTATCCCTGTAAGATGAAAGTGATTTCACAATAGGTGTGCTGTGAAATTTGTTGTATTCCCAGTTTTGGTTTTGATGACATGGCATTTTCTAGCAGAAAATGATGCATCAGAACAAACTAGGTTAGCTTCCATTATATGTTTTAAGCTGGGTTGTGATCTCCTGCCTTACATTGGGCCCTCAGTGTAAACAAAAGTAACCCAGAAACCCTTAAACTTGCACAGTTTGTTTTCCAGAGGACTTCTAATCATTTACAACATGTCTCAATTTTTTATCCTGTCCATCTCTATTGCCATCATACAGTGGCCAACAGCTGCACCTCCTGTATATTCATGTACCTTTGCATAACTGTGAATTTTACTGTATCAATGTAGAAAACACAGACTTATATTGCTTATAGGTTATTTATACAGTGCTGTACAAAATCTCCCAAACAAAATATGTACTGTGGTGATTTCTACGTGACAGAAAATTGAGGCATTGCCATTTTAACACTTGATTCAAAGCCAATGGTCAAGCAGCTGAAGATGACAAACCCATGGTCTTTCTAAAGCCTACACAACGGAGAAACAATCTGGTGTACCTAAGGTCTGCTTAGATTTAGAAGTCAAGTTCCTTATGAAAGTAGGATTGATACTAAAAGTAGATTAATGTCACCAAATGTTAGCAACATAAAAGTTAGGTGACTCGTGTAAATTAACTTAGGAAGAAACACTTCTGGCTGGGTGTTTTATTTAATTTATCATGCACAGCCATCTTAAAATGAGATGAGTCATTCACTGACATGCCCCTCTCTCTCTACACACACTGCAGGGAAAGCTAAGCTTCAGTTACAGAGCTAACCTTAGGTGGATAAAACCAGGAGAGATAAAATCCACATATAGGAATTTAAGGCTTTTTGCTTCTTCTGCCCCAAAACTTAATCATCAGCTTTTAGGAAGTAAGGAGATAGCAGGAGGAATAGAACCAGAAAGGAGGAGGAATAAATGAGCACCACACTCTTCCTAGTCACAATTCCTGGTTACCTTGTGGAGTTAGCCTCCTTTTACATGCTGGTAAGCAATCAAATGAAAGCTCAAAATGCTTTACCATACCTGATTGTGGACTTTGTTTGGGGATTTTGGCTGCTGCTTCAGGGCTGGAGGTGGCACGCACACGCTGATTGGCAGAGTTATGGATGCTACTTGGAACAGCTGCTGAGATGTTTTTGCGAGGTTTCATGTCTTGCAACCACATTGGAGATGCCTCAAAGGCTTGCATTCGCCGAGAGTGGCTGTTAGCGTTGACTTTGAGAAATGCCTGGGCCTTGTATTCCTGAAGGTCTCCATAGTTGGCATCGGTCACCCTGCACTCATACAAGCCTTCATCCTTTTTCCTCACTTTTGAAATCTGCAGCTTGTGGGAGATGTCATTCCCTTGTACTTTCACTGTCTGCAAATTTGCCAGGAAAACAAACAAACAAACATGCTGTCAGGTATTACTCTTTCTCTGGGAAGACTCTACCGAGGTAGAGCCTGTCCAGAGAAGTCAAGTGCCAATTAATCAGTGGCGTGATTGTGCTTACTGCAGGGAAGTTGCATCAAGGATGAGTATGATTATTTGTATCTATGAGGATGTCTGACATCTTCTTTCCAAAACTGTTTAGACGGTTTGCTCTGAAATGCTAACTGGCCTCAGACAAACAACCCAAGCTACTGTGCTCATTCCAATTAATTGCTTAAGATCACGAACATTCTTAATGAGCTTTATACATAAACCTAATATCTGTGCGCTTCGTTGGTTAAACCTTTCCGGTTAGTTGGCTTTATTGAATAATTCAGCTTTTGAACTAGTGCATTAACAATTTTGTTGGAGATGTCTGCCAATATTTAAAGTTCTTTAGTAACAATTTATTAGATTAGCTTGTAATCTTCACTACATTGAAACTGCATATTTGACATTCAATTTGTCTCCTTTAAGCATGTCCAAACCTTTGTTATTTTTTGTTTATTAACCATAACAAGACATCTTGTGTCAGGTAGTTCCTTTTGTCTCATTTATATAAGTGTGTACTTATTAGAAGTCATATATAATGTCAGCAGCACATATTCAAGTAGCACATATTCAAGATCATTTTAAAAGTTGTCAGCTAAAGTAAGACTCCTGGTTTACTTTTAATTGTGTTTAATATCTGAGGGTAACAACATATTTTTGTCTCACGTAATTAAAACACACCTGAGTAAATTATGCATCCAGAAATGTGTGATAGGTATTAAGATGCATTAGGGAAGGTAACACAGATTCCTTTCTGTATGTTCATCACTTTAGAGAATTTATATTTAATTAATTGGCTATTACTCTCTATCTGGATTAATATCTGTTGCCCCACAGGAAGCCAGTTAAAAGGGATGCAGTGGGACAGAAAACTTCAGCTTTGAAGAACTTCTGAATGTGGTTTACATCCACCATTACATAAACATGGATGCAAATGTTGCTTTGTGTCATATCAATGACACACGAGAAGGAAACATCAGGGTGATGAATATATGGTAGATCACAAAAATGGAGAACTGTTAGGGTGAAACTAGGCACGTGTTACTGGTGGTTGTACAACAGACTGCTTCTGATAGCTTGACATGCTGTGGTCACCAGTGTTGGCAAAGCACGTATTCTGCCTGCTTGATAAATGGAAGAGCAATACTTGTGAATACATTATTGCTTTAAGGTACTGGATGGACTTTACAGCCTGTTGTGTTGTATCCAGCTCTGAATTTATACTTGGCAAACTGAGTTGAAAGTATGGATTGCATACTTTCAGGCATAACATATGCAATATTAATTACCGAGAAAGTGCTGGGTAGTTATTTAAACCATATTCAATAATAATATATCTCTACTGAACAGCTCATATTCAGCAAAAGGATTAAAGAAGTTTCACATGAATGGAAAGAGGATCTGTTGGTTGTATTCTGCCTTCACTTGCTCCCATGCAATATCTGCGAAGTTAACAGTGTTGCACAGCACTAATGAAAAACAGAATTTGTTTGGGGTTTTGCATTAGAAATTTAGAAATTGTTGCAGTCAGCCTGTACGCATGTTTTCGATACATGCCTGATTACGATTTAAAACCAATAGAAGTGGTGTATTTCAGCACAGTTTAAAAATACATTTAGTATATTTTACCATTTCTGTAAAGAGTTTACTAAATGCACTTAAAAGTTTGCTGTCCTCTTCATGAAGATACTTCCCTACTAATGGAAGACTCTTTGTGTGCCTTCAAGAAAGAAAAAAAGGAAGGCTACATTTGTAACAAGTATATTTAGACTGTCAACCTAATGTTGACTTTTTTTATTGCAAATATAAACTGTTTTATGCAATCTTATAAAAACACTGTATAAATACCACTTCGTGAATTATTATCATACATAATGAGAGAAAGAGATTTTTAACGTGAAAGATGGGACAAGCTTTACAGCCTATACTGTGTCACGGATCTTATGGATTACTATGGGGACTTTGAATGAGCCAGTATTGATAAGGAATAAATTGGCTGCTAGCACTATGTCTAGTGGAATAGTATCCAAAGACCACATGTGGGCCTCATTTGCAAGATAACCTACAAATGTAACTGAAGATACAGTCCACGACACAAATTGTTTAAGAATATGGTGAGAGGTATAATGGGAAATCTAAGTATGGCTAGAATATGTATCATTTTGAATATAACGTATCTGAATTCCCATTTATAACTGTGATATATAGCGCTATATATAATTTATAGCTATACCTAGCTGCACTTTGACCTGATGTAATTACTTGGTTAGTTATTTGTAGGCATCAAAGAGCAGTAGAGTAAAGGATTTAGCAGGAATAAGTCACCTCTATCTGTTGGTGTTTTAAGCTTTGCTGGTACTTAAAGCCTTGGCCGCAGCTAAAAGGCACTTCTGAAGGGATTGTGTCTGAGAAAGGAAGAACCCCTTTGGGCTCATAAGGAATGCTCATGCTGCAGTATCTGCTAGGTATCTCTGTCTTTCCACTGCAGTGAGCACGACACCGCGATCCCACCACCATACATTTCTCGGGATACTGAAAAGTCTGAACTTTTTCTGAGGTCAGGGGCTGTGGCTGTGCCTGACTTGGAGTATGGGTCTGCCGAGGAAGGCATCCTTCCCCTGGACAGGGGCTGGAGCAAGGTCGCTCATAATTTTCTCAAGGCAACGTTCTGGTTTAATCTCCAAATGGCAGATTGGTAACTCTGGTTTCAGAACCCCACTTTCCTAAGAAAAGAGTCTCAGTGGCCAGGAGCGGAGATTACTCCGAACAGGAGGGTCTCGTCCAAAGACTTTCTGAGCTTTTTTCTGCCAGCGGATAGGAACCCGGGAAGGCACCCACTTAAATAGTTGCATGCCCCACTGAATGGAAGTGGGGCTTCAGGGCCAAATTTCAGCCTTAAAACCAGCTTTGGAGCGCTAAGGCAGACTCGGCAACTGCCCGGGGCCGATGAGAACGAGAGGTACGAGGATGGGTGCAGGCTCTCAGGGGCTGGAAACGGGAATCCGCCGCACGTCTACCGCCTGCCCGTGCCTTCGTGCCCGCCCGGGAGCTCCCCAGGGCCGCAGGCTGTGCCGGGCAGGGCTCCCCCGGCACCACCACCCTCTTCCTCGGGCAGGGCGAGGAAGGAGCCTGTCCCGCTTCACCTCGGGGGGAGGATGAGGAGGGATGCCACGGGGGGGGGGGGGGGGTGGTGCGTGTGTGCGCTCCGTGGGTTTCCGCGCCCTAGCCGCGGCACTTACGCTGATCTTCGTGCCGTCGTTATCCAGGTCCCGCTCGGGCAGGAGCTCCACCTGCAGGGAAAGGAATGCCGCCGTGGGTCGCCGGCCCCCGCTCCCCTCCGTGGAAGCCCGTGGAGCGGCGCGCCGCGGCTGCCACCTGCGGGCCGCGCCGGGGAGAGCCGCCGTCCCGTGTCCGTGTCGTCCCCCCGCGCCCAACTCCCCTCCGTGGAAGAGCGGGGGGCGGGGGGAGCATCGCCCGACGGACCCGCCACCCACCCGACTCGCGTGGGGGGCTTTTAGGGGCGGCTGAACGCCAAGAGCGGTGCGGAGGTGGTGGCAAAGGAGGAAGGGAGCGGGAGTGGGCACAGACCCCTCCGTCCCACTCGGAAGGCTGAAATTGAGCTGTTGTATGATTTCTTTTTTATGGTTCTTTGGGGACTTGGTTCTCCCCCTGCTCTCCTTCTGCTCCCCCCCCCCCCCGAAGTGTGTGCCCTCCTGCGGCAGCTGCATGCAGAGTTAGGGCTGCCGATTCGACTGCACCAGCTGTAAATTGGAGGGCACGTGGAGGATCTTGCCATTTGGGAAATAAAAAATTCCCACAAGGAGCAGTCTCTGAACAGCTGCTTTCCAAAGGGAAAATGAGAGAGAGGGGAAAAGAAATTAAAAATTAGACTTTGGAAGTCTGTGTGGGTTTGTGAACGTCCCTAGGTGCATCCTGAGAGTGACAGGCACCAAGGGCATCATCCCTTGAGGTGGGCATTTTTCTCTGAAGGTTCCTGCGCTGTTATTTCATGGTCAAAATTAAATCCCTGGGGAGATCCAGAACGTCCCTCAGCTCCCCCCCTCTCCTCCCCCCTTCCCCCCGCCTCCCTCCCTTCCTCTCAGCTCCTTCTCCTCTGGCATTCCTGGGTGGTTTGGGGATCCCATGGCAGAGGATCATTACCTGAGTGCCTGTCACCTCGGCTCCAGCCTCTTGGTCCTCAGCCGCCCGCAGAAACCACCACTGGATTTCAAGGTACACCGAAGCGGAGCCACTTTGGAAAGCACAAGACATCTCCACGTTCTGCCCTTCAGTGGCCGTGACATTTCGGGGAAACTCAGTGAATTTTGCTGCAAAACAAATTCATAACGTGTTGGGATCTCCTGTTACCTACTCATTGTTCTCTGCTTTTTGTGTTGCCTTTTTTCTTCTGTCTCTCTCTTTTTATCCTTTTTAGTTAATATCTCTGTTTTCTTTTCTGATTCCCTCTCTTTTCTGATTTTCCAGTTTCCCCACACGTTACCTCCCTCGGTTTCTCTCACACCTGGGTAATGCCTTTCCTCCCTTATGCACAAGTCCACCTTCTTTGCACTCTAAGCTTTGCTCATGGGAAATGCTATAGACCCCCCTGCTTGCTCCCAGGGACTAGTAAAGTTTTATGTAATTAGGTCCAAATCCCTTTGGGCAGAATGCAGTATTTCACCAGACTCACTGAGGGATTTTGTGCAAGACCATTTTGGAAGAGGAAAAAAAAATCAAACTGATTTATTGTATTTTGTAGGGCTGAGCTGGAGATGTGTAACTTGTTAAACCTTCCACAGCCAGTTGGAGCGGCTGTTGGAACTGGCACTATTCTGAGGTGTGGGTTACGACCACTCATCAAAATGCCCATTTCCAAGGCTTTACCTGAGTTGGTTACCCCTTCTGAGAACCTCTGCTTGCATGAACAGACCGAGAAGCAATACATCTTCTGTTTCTCAGTCCTGGCAGACACTTTCTAGAAGTAACCTTCACCTTTGTGTCCCAGTCCTTTACCAGACAGGATCTGCCCATTTCAGGGTACCACTGCTAGGTTTAAAAACTAATCCTGACTGACACAGTCCAGGGCACCAGTTATTTCTTCAAGTCTCAGTCTTTACTTCCTCCTCATCCTTTCCTATAGCTCACTTAAAAATTGTGCAACCTAATGAAACATGATAGTCAGGTGAGGGGGACTACAGACGAACAGTGTAATAAATAAAGCCTGTGTTTCAAGAAGGGCAAAACGTGGAAAGACCCTGCAATGTTGCTTTCTGTTATGCGTTGTTACAGATTGACTAGAGCATATTATGATGCGAAGGAAATACTGCTCGTTGTCTCCTCCCCTCTCTCTCTCTCTTTATCCAGTGTTCCTAGCTAACCTGGAATAGGTGGGATAATTTAGCAATACGCTCAACCAGTGCTACTTCTTTTCCCCCTCACATTTGAGCTTGGCAACAGATACTTAGCGAAGCTCCTGGCTTTATATTTCACTGTGTCCCATTTTCTGCCGCCCCCCCCCC